AGAACACATTTCAGCAAACTTTATTGAAATTTCACCGACCGGAAAACATGATCGAGGCAGGTGGAAGCAGCCAAGCTAAAGACTTTTGAGTCCAACCTGCAAACCAGCAAATGGTGGAGACCTTGTGACTTTGCGTAGAAAAATCAGTCTCTCTCTTGTCCCGAGTGCAAAGCAGAAGAAGCTTCCTTGTGGTCTCGATGCCGGAGCGATGGTGGGCTGGGGGGGGGGGACACACACGGATCGAACTCCTGCTCACAGTCCAATGGTGTAGGAACGTCCCGTGGGGTTGTGGATGACCGAACACATGGGGGAAACCACAGCCCACTCGTACCACACTTTCTTGGAGTTGCTGGAACGCCAAAAGGCTACTCGGATCTTCTCGCCCGCTTGCACGGTCATGGGTTGCTGTGGGTGGGACACCATTACTAGCACCACAATCATTCCGGGCCAGATAAACATTACTTCACCCACCCCCACAAAGTCAGGTCCCACAGAGTCAGACCTCCACCACAGAGTCAGTCCCACCAGCATGTTTCCATACAGAAGTAGAGAGGTCATAGGAACACAAATATGTTTAAATTATTTGCTGAACACCTGGTTCTGCCACCTGGGCCTGGGAAGCTAAAGCCCATTCAATGGTTAGTTTGAATCTGTGTTGTCGCTGGGGTGGGTGGTGGGCTGATATTTTTCTCCTTATTTTTTATTCTTTTTAAAGCACAGTTTTTGTATCTTGTAAGCCGCCTTGAGTCGCCACGTGCGAGTAGGCGGCAATATGAATTTTCTACATAAATAAATATTCAAACTCATTTCCAATAAACACCTAATTCTTACACTGCTGTCTAATGTCTATGCATATTTACCCATGTAGTATGGCTGCAGTATTATTATTTATCATTATCTTCTTTACTACTAATCTATCTATCTATCTATCTATCTATCTATCTATCTATCTATCTATCTATCTATCTATCTATCTATCTATCTATCTATCATGTCTGTCTGTCTGTCTGTCTGTCTGTCTGTCTGTCTGTCTATCTATCTATCTATCTATCATTTTAGAATAGAATAGAGCTGGACGGGATCTTGGAGGTCTTCTACTCCAGCCCCCTGCTCAAGCAGGAGTCCCTAGACCAGGGGTAGGCAACCTTGGCTCTTTTATGACTCGTGGACTTCAACTCCCAGAATTCCTGAGCCAGCATGGCTCAGCTTGGAAACCTCTCCTTTCCCCCTCAGCGTGGCTGGCTCAGGAATTCTGGGAGTTGAAGTCCACGAGTCATAAAAGAGCCAAGATTGCCTACCCCTGACCTATACCATCTCAGACAAGTGACTATCTAGCGTGTTCTTAAAAATCTCCAGTGATGGAGGGAAGCCATTCCACTGGTTAATTGTCCTCATAGGAAGTTTCTCCTTAATTCCAGGTTGCTTCTCTGTGATTAGTTTCCAACCATTGTTTCTTGTTCTGGCCTCAGGTGCTTTGGAGAATAACGTGACCCACTCTTCTTTGTGGCAGCCCCTGAGATACTAGAACACTGCTATCATGTCCCCCTTATTTCTTCTTTTCTTTAGACTGGCCAAACCCAAGTCCCGTAGCCGTTCTTCATATGTTTCAGTCTCCAATTACTGGAGGAAATAAATGACGGAAATATCAATCAACTAGGAAAGGAGATGGAAGGCAACCAGGCAGGAGGGCAGCTCAACAAAGCTCGCTCCTACAGCTTTTTCTTGCTTATACAGGTAGTCCTCGACTTACAACAGTCCGTTTAGTGATTCACTTAACAACGGTGGCCGAAAAGGTCACACAATGGGGCAAAACTCGCTTAACCAATGTCTCCCTTGGCACGGAATATTTCGGGCCCAATGGTGGCCGTTAAGACGAGGACTACCTGTAATGTAAAACCCTTGCATATTAAAAGTTTCATTTTGTTAATAGTTTTCCTTGGTGAAAAATCTTCAAATAACTGCTGACAAAAGATTTATTCTCATGAGGGGAATTTTTTAAAAAAACAACAAAAAAACCAAAAACAAAAACCTACCTTAATGGGAAAGAATATAGGGAACCACGAAAACATGCCAGGTGAGTGAGTCTCAGGCCGGATGCCTAAAAGAAAGAAAGAAAGAAAGAAAGAAAGGAAGGAAGGAAGGAAGGAAGGAAGGTTGTTTTTAGGGATTCAGCAGCATCGAGGCAACTATAACGAAGGGTTTAGGACAGGGGTAAGCAACCTTGGCTCTTTTATGACTCGTGGACTTCAACTCCCAGAATTCCTGAGCCAGCATGGCTCAGCATGGAAACATCTCTCTTTCCCCTCAGTATGCCTGGCTGAGGAATTCTGGGAGTTGAAGTCCACGAGTCATAAAAGAGCCAAGGTTGCCTACCCCTGGTTTAGGAGAAGAGCCTTTTTTGTGCCATGGCCCCTGCCCTTTGAAACATCTTGCCACTGAGGGTGAGGCCCCCACCCACCCTTCTGGCCTTGAATAGGATAGAGCTGGAAGGGACCTTGGAGGTCTTCTAGTCCAGCCCCCTGCTCAAGCAGGAGAACCTATATCGTCTCAGACAAGTGACTGTCTAGCCTCTTCTTAAAAATCTTCAGTGATGGAGCGCCCACGATTTCTGGAGGCAAGCTGTTCCACTGGTTAATTGTCCTCACTGTCAGGAAGTTTCTCCTTAGTTCCAGGTTGCTTCTCTCCTTGATTAGTTTCCAACCATTATTTCATGTCCTGCCTTCAGGTGCTTTAATAATAATAATAATAATAATAATAATAATTTAATTTGTATTCTTTGGAGAATAATTTGACCCCATCTTCTTTGTGGCAGCCCCTCAAATGCTGGAACACTGCTATCATGTCACCCCTATTTCTTTTCTTTACACTGGCCGAATCCAAGTCCTGCAGCCGTTCTTCCTATGTTTTATTCTCCAGGTCTTTGATCATCTTACTTGCTCTTCTCTGAATTTTTTCCAAACTCTCAACATCTCTTTTGTGATGTGGTGACCAAAATTGGCTACAGTATTCCAGGTCTGGCCTCACCAGGGTTTTATACAGTGGTACTAATACCTCGCGTGATCTTGATTCTATGCCTCTATTTATACAACCCAAGATTGTATTAGCTTTTTTTAGCTGCTGCTGCACACGGCTGGCTCACGGTCAAGCGATCGTCCACTAGGAGTCCAAGGTCCCTCTCACAGTTACTGTTTTTGAGCCAGGTCTTGCCCAGTCTGTACTTGTACCTTTGATGGAGATGCATCAAAAAGGTGGTGGCTGGTGCGACATCCCCCGACTCCACTCAAGCCTGCGGTTTTTACTTGTAACCAATCCTTGTAATTTTATTTTTTTCTGTATTTTTATTACATTGTAAGCTGCCCAGAATCACTTTGGATAGTGCGATGGGCTTTGTATTAATACCACTTTACAATGCCTTGGTAAGGCCACACTTGGAATACTGCATCCAGTTTTGGTTACCATGATGTAAAAAAGATGTTGAGACTCTAGAAAGAGTACAGAGAAGAGCAACAAAGATGATTAGAGGTCTGGAGGCTAAAGCATATAAGGAAAGGCTGCTGGAATTGGGTATGTCTAGTTTAACGAAGAAAAGGACGAGGGGGGACATGATAGCAGTGTTCCAATATCTCAGGGGCTGCCCCAAAGAAGAAGGAGTCAAGCTATTCTCCAAGGCGCCTGAAGGCAGGACATGAAGCAACGAATGGAAACTAACCAAGGAGAGAAGCAACCTAGAACTAAGGAGAAACTTCCTGACAGTTAGAACAATTAACCAGTGGAACAACCTGCCTCCAGAAGCGGTGAATGCTCCAACACTGGAAGTTTTTAAGAAGAGACTGGACAGCCATTTGTCTGAAATGGTATAGGGTTTCCTGCCTGAGCAGGGGGTTGGACCAGATGACCTCCAAGGTCCCTTCCAACTTTATTATTATTATATACGAGTATAAATGTAATAAATAATAAAGGGGAAGGGCCCACTCTTCCTCTCCCGTCTTGAGGCTTCACTTAACGTACTGAGTGTGACATCGCCATATAGCTTCGTCTCAAAGTAGCCGGCGAAGCCGTGAAGCACCGTATTCACGTCCACCTGGAATTCCAGCGTTTGGTAACGGTTGTTGTCCTTGAGAGGGTCTGTAAGAGAGAAAAGACAAGGCAAAAAGGTATCATGGGACACCCAGAGGCTCTAAAGCAGGCATGTCAAACCCGCGACATACCATGGGCGCGGTTTCGGCATGATGCACACGGCCCGTGTGCCAGCATTTTGACACGCCTGCTCTAAAGAAAACAAGGATAAAATATCCAAGCCAAATCCAGCTGTTTTTAACAGAGTGGAAGATGGCTTGCTGTGGGTGGGTTAACCCAGGTTTTCTAGTAAAGTTTTTTTTTTTTTTTAAAGCCAGCCTTTCTTCTTATCTAGTCCAGGGCTTTTCAATCTTTTCACAGATTGTACCACTTTTAGGACATGACAATATTCGAGCACCACCAGTGCTTAGCAAGGTGTCAAAAACTTGATGACTAAAAAAAAAAAAGGGGGGGGGTATTTTGGGCTTTACTGGTTAGATTCATTTGTTGTTATAGAAATGGCTAGTTTATAATGTTATGGAAAAGTAAAAAGTTGGGTTCAATGTTAATGCTTTCTTCTACTGCAACAGAGGAAGTCAGAAGTCAATGCTTTTTCTTTTTCCCTTCTCCCCCTCCCTTTTTCCTTTTTCTCTCACCCTTGGCTCGCAAAAGCCCCTTGCTTGCTCTCTCACTCACTCACACTTTGCTTGCAAAGGTCACTTTCTCTCATTCACTCACACTTTGCTCGCAAAAGCCCCTCGCTCTCTCTCTCGCTCTCCACTCAAACACACTTTGCTCTCAAAGCCGCTCTCTCTCTCTCTCTCTCTCACACTTCGCCTGCAAAGGCCACTCTCTCGCTCTCTCATTCACTCACACTTTGCTCACAAAAGCCCCTCAGTCTCTCTCGCTCTACACTCAAACACACTTTGCTCTTAAAAGCCACTCTCTCTCTCTCTTTCACTCACTCACACGTCGCCTGCAAAGGCCACTCTCTCGCTCTCTCTCATTCACCCACACTTTGCTCACAAAAGCCCCTCAGTCTCTCTCTCGCTCTCCACTCAAACACACTTTGCTCTTAAAAGCCGCTCTCTCTCTCTCTCTTTCACTCACTCACACTTTGCCCGCAAAGGCCACTCTCTCGCTCTCTCTCACTCACACTTTGCTCACAAAAGCCCCTCGGTCTCTCGCTCGCTCTCCACTCAAACACACTTTGCTGTCAAAAGCCGCACTCTCTCTCTCTCTCTCATTCACTCACACTTTGCTCACAAAAGCCCCTCGGTCTCTCTCTCGCTCTCCACTCAAACACACTTTGCTGTCAAAAGCCGCACTCTCTCTCTCTCTTTCACTCACTCATACTTCGCCTGCAAAGGCCACTCATTCTCTCTCTCTCTCACATTCACTCACACTTTGCTCATAAAAGCCCTTTGGTCTCTCACTCTCTCACTCACACGCACTTTGCTCCCAAAAGCCGCTCTCGCTCTCTCTTTCACTCACTCACACTTCTCCCGCAAAGGCCACTCGCTCGCTGTCGCCTCACTGCTTCACTAACAAAAGCCTTTTCTCTTCTCTCTCTGTGTTTTTTTTTCTCTCCCTCTCCCGCCGAAACCTGCCCCTTTTATAGCTTCTCCTCTCTCCATCCTCCTCCTCCTTTTTTCATCCGGGGATGGATGTAGCCGCATGCGTAGATCCTGGGGCTTCTTGCCAAGCCCTGCAGCTCCAGCTGATCTTCTCCAGGCCTATGTAGAGCCGCTTCAGCTTGTTCCCTCCCCCGTTACACTTGGCTAGGGGTCACGTACCACCTACCAGGTGCTAAAGTACCACCAGTGGTACGCGTACCACTGGTTGAAAAACCCCGATCTAGACAACTAACAATCTAGTTTAGGCAAGTATCCCTTTCCACAACACCATATGGTATTTTGCTCTCCAAAAGCAATGTCCCTACCTGGGTTGGGGTGTCTGAAGGAGAAACAGGCTTTTGGCGGTGCTAGCTGGTGGAAGTTGTGAAGACGAACAACGTACGGCATTTCGAATTGAGCCTGGGAAGAAAACACGAAATAAAACAGAATAAAAACAGATTTTTAAAATGCCAAATGTGTTAGGGTTAAAGTGCGCTCTGAGCTTGGGTTTTTTTTCTTTCTTGCAGACGTTTCACAACCCACCTAGGGAACATCATCAGGGCTACTGGAAGATGCCATTCCCAAATCTTTTTTAATAGAAAGGTTCCAATTTCCCTTTGTCTCTAAGGATCAAATTAAAGGTTTGTAACGATTTCTCTTCAACGTGTAGGATGGAGTATACTACATGTTCGATTCTGTATACTGCTGGAGATTCCTTTTTGTTTCGTATCATTAATAAAATTAAATTTAAAAATTCTTCGGGGCACCCTGCAAATCTAAAGGATGTATTTAAATTAGGAGATTTAATTACAAAATACGTATATTTGATTATATACGTCATTTTGAGACACGAGATCCTTCATTATTTTAACAATGTTATTTTAACGGAAATAACTTGATTATTTGAATACACCTAATATTTGACAGTAAATAATTTTAGGAATTTTAGATGTTGGGCAAAAAAAAAAAAGGCTAAAGTGAGAATTAAGAAATTAGATGATGGAAATTACCAGAGGGATTATTTAAAAATTAAACATTTGTTTGAATGTGGTTAAAGTAATAAAAAGATTGTGAATATAAATGAAGATTAGTTTAAGAGGGATGAGCCCTTAAAGTAATATAATATGCCTTCTTTTTTTCCCTTTTGTGTTTGGTTTTTTGACATGAGAAATATAAAAATGTTGGGATGGTTTATATAAAAGAAATGTTTTCTGTTTTGTCTTTTTCCCCCCCTTTTTGCTCTTATTTTGTTTTATGATACAAGAAATGTAAAAATGTGATGGCTTGTATGAGAAAAAAGACTTAAACACCTAAGTGTAACTAATTTTGAGAAAATCTTAACCAGTAAAAATGTTTTGAATATTGTGGGAAAAACAAATTTAAATGAGAATTTTGCAAACAGGATTTACGATGAGGCCATCAAGATGATCAATGAAAAGAAGCTTTATATTGATGTGGCTGTTATCTGCAGAAACATGAGACAAATGTTTATATTTAATCGTCATTTATTTAAATAAGACCTGTATTCATTTAAGATTGGCAAAAGAGAATATTATTGGAAGAAGAGGAAATCAAGTCAAGCTATTATATGGACTATAGAATTATAGAAATTAATTGTTATTGTTTTTTAAACATTAACCCAGACAACACGACATTTACCAAATATTAAAGTGTATGTTAAATCAATAGAACATTTTTTTTTTAATTTTTAGGAATTTTAACCTGACCTTTATTGCATACATATTTTTTTCCTTGGGAAAAGCCCTACTTTTTATTTTTTTCAAGAGATCAAGAAAGCAACAAAGATGATTAGGGGACTGGAGGCTAAAACATATAAGGAACGGTTGCTGGAATTGGGTATGTCTAGTTTAACAAAGAGAAGGACGAGGGGTTTTTATAAAACCTTTTCGCTTTAGGCCTCCGCTGCTGTGTGCAAAAAGAAAAAAAGGTTCAATCAATCAATTTCAACTGAAAAAAAAAAAGATCTCGCAAAGTTGGAATTGATTGATTGAACTTTTTAGTCCCACCCAGTCTGCTGTTACCACCGCAGCCCCCCCACCCACGCCCAATTGGAACTCATCAAATCTGCAGACGACACCAAGCTGGCAGGAATAGCCAACACTCCAGAAGACAGGCTGAGGATACAGGAGGATCTGGATAGACTTGAACACTGGGCGCTATCTAACAAAATGAAATTCAATGGTGAAAAAAGTAAGGTTCTACATTTAGGCAAGAAAAACAAATGTACAGGTATAGTATAGGGAGTACCTTGCTCAATAGTAGTAACTGTGAGAGGGACCTCGAAGTCCTAGTGGACAATCACCTAAATATGAGCCAGCAGTGTGCTGCAGCTGCCAAAAAGGCCAACACAGTGCTGGGCTGCATCAACAGAGGGATAGAATCAAGATCACATGAAGTGTTGATACCACTTTACAAGGCCTTGGTAAGGCCACACTTGGAATACTGCATCCAGTTTTGGTCACCGCGATGTACAAAAGATGTTGAGACTTTAGAAAGAGTACAGAGAAGAGCAACAAAGATGATTAGGGGACTGGTGTCTAAAGCATATAAGGAACGGCTGCTGGAATTGGGTATGTCTAGTTTAATGAAGAGAAGGACGAAGGGGGACAGGATAGCAGTGTTCCAATATCTCAGGGGCTGCCCCAAAGAAGAGGGAGTCAAGCCATTCTCCAAAGCGCCTGAGGGCAGGACAAGAAGCAACAGGTGGAAACTAACCAAGGAGAGAAGCAACCTAGAACTAAGGAGAAACTTCCTGACAGTTAGAACAATTAACCAGTGGAACAACCTGCCCCCAGAAGCGGTGAATGCTCCAACACTGGAAGTTTTTAAGAGACTGGACAGCCATTTGTCTGAAATGGGATAGGGTTTCCTGCCTGAGCAGGGGATTGGACTAGATGACCTCCAACGTCCCTTCCAACTTTTTTATTATTATTAATTATTATTATTATTATTATTATTATTATTATTATTATTATTATTATTATTATTATTATTATTATTATTATTATTATTTCTCCAAACAGATTTTAATTTGTTTCTAGCAAAGAACACATTTGGGGACCCCCTCACCTCAGGATCGCGATCCTTCTCACGACAGGCCCGCACTTCGTTATAAAGCTTGGAGGATGAGATGGGGCCCAAGAAAGAGGTATAATCACAGGGGATGCTCACCCCTCCCTCTGTGCAAGGGGAAAAAGCAAAGACACATCAGTCACTTGCAATTAAAATAAGACGTTGAATCTATCTGGCTCAACTAATCAACAGGCCTTCCAGTTGGCTCACGGCATTATTACTACATGTAGTCTTTGACTTACAACCATTCAGTGACCATTCAAGGTTCAAAAAAGCGATTTACAACCAATACTTGCATTTACAACCACTGCGGCATTTTCCCACAGTCACGTGATCAAAAATTAGCTGCTTGGCCACTGGCATGTACCCGTGACAGTTGCAGCACGCTGGGATTGCAAATGCAATTCCCATTTGCAGCCTTGCCAGCTGGCTTTCTGGCAATCAAATTCCATCGGGGGGGGGAGCCCAGATTCACTTAACAATCCCGTGATTCGCTTAATGATTGTGGTGATTCACTTAAGAACCACGGCAAAAAAGATCAGGATTGTAAACCGCCCAACGTTACCCTATGTGGTAAGATGGGTGGCCCATAAATTTTATTAAGAAAAATAAAATAAAAAATAAATAAAACAACAAAAAATGAAATAAATTAAATTAAAATACAATAAAAAGCCATAAAAGAAAAAAATAATATTAAAATAAAATAAAATGTAATAAAACAATAAAAAATGAAATAAATTAAACAAAAACAATAAAAAATAAAACAAAATAAAAAATAGAACAAAAAATGAATGAAATTAAAATAAAATAAAAAACAAAAGAAAGGAAAAAAAATGAAATTAAAATAAAATAAAATAAACAATAAAACAAAAAATGAAATAAAATAAAAGTGTAATAAAACAATACAATGAAATAAACAAAAACAATAAAATAAAAATGAATTAAAATAAAATAAATAAAACGTAAAAACAAATAAAATAAAATGTAATAAAACAAAATGAAATAAACAAAAACAATAAAACCATAAAAATGAATTAAAATAAATAAAATAAAAAATAAAAAATGAAAAAAATTCAATTAAAAGAAAAAATAATAAAGGAAAAAATTTCAATTAAAATAAAATAAAATATAATAAAGCAATAACAAATGAGATAAATTAAACAAAAACAATAAAACCATAAAAAATAAATTAAAATAAAATAAACACAATAAAACAATAAAAAAAATGAAGTGAAATAAAATAAAAAGAAAACAAAAATAAATTAAATTAAAAAGAAACAAATAAACGAAATAAATGAAATATAATGAAATACAAAATGGTAAAATAAAAATAAAACAAAATAAAAAATAAAAATAAAATAATACTAGGCACGAATCCCTTAAGAACTGCCTTGCCCAACAGTGGAAGTTCTGCCTCTGGTTTAAGGACTCCCTGTGGTATGTAAATATTCTAAATATTTCTGACCCCAACTGTCGTTTTTTTAAAGCTTCCATAGTCTCTTTTTCTGACTCACCTTTCAGACAATGTTCTGCCCCGTCCAGGCACTCTGGGGACAGTTCGTTGTCGGCGAAGGAGCCCAGCAGTTCCGACACCATCAGATCCGCTTTCTCGGGGGCCTCCCACTCGCGCATGTCCCGGGAGACCACCGTCACCTGGGAACCCCATTCCTCGTACTGCCAGCTCTCCAGACTGGAGGGGGGGGGGAAAGCGCGGGAAGACGTAGAGGCAGGTCAAAGGGACTAGCACCTTCGATCATGTGGAAGACTTTCTCTCCACAAAACTGCCCGCAGAGCAGACTAATATTAAATACGATTAAATATTCATCTTCCATTCCCCCAGAAGCTAGAGGTAGAGAGGAAAGGACGAGAGACTGCTCTCCAAGCTGGCTGAGGGGGATTCTGGGAGTTGAAGTCCACGAGTCATCCAAGGGCCACGTTTGAAGACCCCTGGCTTCATCCATCACCTTTGGATCAGGAAAGGAGGGAAAAAAAGGAAGTGCTGTCTGAGCACATTTTTTAAAAATTCTGTGCCCCACTTCAGAAGTGCATGTAATACCCCATCTTATCCCCTGGGTTCCCGGTAGGACAAACTGGATTGGAAAGAAACCACGATGCTAATGGGTAAATTTCCCCCCACTGCACTTTGCAATGGTTCCAATAGCTAAGCCGCAAAACGCAAGATTAATCAGTCTTCTCTCGCCACGGTGCCCTCCCCAGATGTGTGACTCTCAATTCTTGGATTAGAACTGCCAATCTCCTGGTGACAAGGCCTCCAAATCACCCAATGCTTTTCCTGCCTAAGGTAAGACTAGAATTCCCAGTCTCCTGGTGACTGGCCCCCAAATCACCCAATGCTTTTCCTGCCTAAGGTAAGACTAGAATTCCCAGTCTCCTGGTGATTGGCTCCAAATCAACTTAAGGCTTTCCTTCCTAAGGTAGGACTAGAACTCCCAGTCTCCTGGTGATTGGCTCCAAATCAACCTGTGGCTTTCCTGCCTAAGGTAGGACTAGAATTCCCAGTCTCCTGGTGATTGGCTCCAAATCAAACTAAGGCTTTTCTGCCTAAGGTAGGACTAGAACTCCCAGTCTCCTGGTGATTGGCTCCAAATCACCCTGTGGCTTTCCTGCCTAAGGTGGGACTAGAATTCCCAGTCTCCTGGTGATTGGCTCCAAATCAAACTAAGGCTTTCCTGCCTAAGGTAGGACTAGAATTCTGAGTCTCCTGGTGATTGGGTCCAAATCACCCTGTGGCTTTCCTGCCTAAGGTAGGACTAGAATTCCCAGTCTCCTGGTGATTGGATCCAAATCAACCTAAGGCTATCCTGCCTAAGGTGGGATTATAACTTCCAGTTTCTTGGTGACTGGCCCAAGGTCCTCTCGCCAGCATTTGTGACTAACGCAGAACTAGAACTCGCTGTCTCCTAGCAACTGCTCCAAAGTCACCCAGCCAGCTTTCATGCCTAAGACAGGACTAGAACTCCCATTCTCCTGGCTTCTAGCCTTTGCCGCTAGACCAGGGGTAGGCAACCTTGGCTCTTTTATGCCTCGTGGACTTCAACTCCCAGAATTCCTGAGCCAGCATGGCTCAGCTTGGAAACCTCTCCCTTTCCCCTCAGCATGGCTGGCTCAGGAATTCTGGGAGTCGTAGTCCACGAGTCATAAAAGAGCCAAGGTGGCCTAGCCCTGTCCTAGCTCTAATCAGCTCCTTATTCCTCTGTCTGAGCCAGCATGAGGGAAACTTTGGCCCCTTCAAGGCTCGTGGACTTCAACTCCCAGAATTCCTAAGCCAGCATGAGGGAAACTTTGGCCCCTTCATGATTTGTGGACTTCAACTCCCAGAATTCCTGAGCCAGCATGAGGGAAACTTTGGCCCCTTCATGACTCGAGGACTTCAACTCCCAGAATTCCTGAGCCAGCCTGAGGGAAACTTTGGCCCCTTCATGATTCGTGGACTTCAACTCCCAGAATTCCTGAGCCAGCCTGAGGGAAACTTTGGCCCCTTCATGACTCGTAGACTTCAACTCCCAGAATTCCTGAGCCAGCCTGAGGGAAACCTTGGCCCCTTCATGACTCGTGGACTTCAACTCCCAGAATTCCTGAGCCAGCATGAGGGAAACCTTGGCCCCTTCATGACTCGTGGACTTCAACTCCCAGAATTCCTGAGCCAGCATGGGGGAACTATGGCCCCCTCATGACTCGTTGACTTCAACTCCCAGAATTCCTGAGCCAGCATGGCTCAGCTTGGAAACCTCTCCCTTTCCCCTCAGCATGGCTGGCTCAGGAATTCTGGGAGTCGTAGTCCACGAGTCATAAAAGAGCCAAGGTTGCCTACCCCTGCCCTAGACCACGCTGGCTATCCCCAAAACACTTTTTCCTGCACAATGACACCCACAGGCAGATTCCTCCCCCCGCCCTGAGCCCCCCCACCCCATTGGAACCAGAGCTTCACGCCAAGGACACGAAGTCAAGAACCAACTTACGTCACCACAGCGTTGGGGTTCTTCTCCACGGCGTAAATCTTCACGCGCCGGTTGGCCTGGCGGGCCGCTCGGAGGGAGGCGTTGACGAGAGGACCCCTACCGGCCCCCAACACCATCACCACCCTGCAGGTTGGATCAAAAGCAAACAGGGAGAAGCGTGGAACACAAGACAAGGAGACGACAAAAAAACAACATGCCGTTATCTCTAATTAGGGCCGGGCTAAGCTGGCGCCCCACTGGGGACAATCCAGCTAAAAACAGGGGGCAGCCCAGCTGGCGAACGAGCAATTGAGTGATTGTCGTGATTGTCGCAGGGCCAAAAAGTGTGTTTCCGCTCACAATCAAACACAAGCCCGCCCGCCCGCTGGGCGACAAGCACCGGCAGCAAATGAAGCCGAACGAGTGACTGGTCTCACTCCTTTCGTTAAAAAAGGGGAGTTGGCGGTGTGTGTGTGTGTGTGTGTGTGTGTGTGGAGAACGTGCTTAAAAGTGAGTTCTAATTAAAAAGGTGACTTTTGCATTGTGGTGTTTGCCCAGCTGCCTTTTTTAAATGAGTTTGTCTCGGATCACACACATCCTGGACGGAGTTGTGTTGGGCGATGTTGTGTTCCAGAGACCAGAAGGGGTGAGCAGGCGGTCCTCGACTTACGACCACAACGGAGCCCTAAATTTCGGTTGTGGCTAAGCGAGACGGCAGTTTAAGTGAATTCTGCCCCATTTTTACCAAAGTCATTAAGTGAATCGTTGCAGTTAAGTGAGGAACATGGTCGTTAAGTGAACCGGGCTTTCCCCCCCATGGACTTTGCTTGCCAGAAGGTCACAAAAGAGGGATCACGTGATCCCGGGATGCTGCGACCGTCGTAAATACGAGTCAGATGTCGGGCCTCAGAAACCTGATCACGTGACCGCGGGGGGAATGCTGCCAACGGTCATTAAGTGTGAAACATGGTCGTAATTTCCTTTTTTTCAGTGCCGCTGTAACTTTGAACGGTCACTAAAGGAACTGTGGTAAGTCGAGGACTGCCTGTGACATTATTGCTTTCCTACAGAAAAAAAAAAAGGATTAAAAATTGAGGGAGAGGCCACGTTTCAGCTTATTATGGGTGGCCCTCGACTCACAACCATTTTGTTTCATGACTGTTTGAAGTTCAACGGCACTGAAAAGGGGACGTATGTCCAGTTCTCACACTTATGACCATTGTAGCATTCCCCCCACAGTCATGGGTTTCAAATTTGGGTGACAACTGTTGTGTGTTTGTGGTGCTTGCAGCAACCGGATTCCCGAAATTGTCATTTGCAACCTTCCTACGGAGCTTCCGACAAGCAAAGTCAAGCCAGATTCACTTAACGACCGCAAGATTCACTTAACGACCGTAGCAACTCATTTAACAACTGTGGCAAAAAAGATAGTAGAATGGAACAGGACTCATTTAACAACTGCCTCGTTTGGCAGCCGAAAGTTTGGGTTCCACTGTCGACATAAATCGAGGACTACCTTGTATTCATTAATATTATTTAATGAAAGGAACCCAGGATGATTGACAGGTACCCTTGCATCCCTGATGCAGGTAGCCCCTCCCCCAGTGGGTCCGTCGTAACTTCGAACAGTTTCTGAGCAATTAGTCGCAAGTCAAGGACGGTAAGTCCGTCGTAACTTCAAACAATTCCTCAGCAACCGGTCCCAAGTCAACTCCTTGACTTGCGATTGGTTGCTTAGCAACTGCTCCAAGTTACGACAGACCTACCATCCATATTTGAAGATGTGACGGTTGTCTCCCGCAGTCACGTGACTACAATCTGGTTGCTTGGCAACCAGCCCGTCTTTACAGCCATTGGGGGCGTCCCGTGGTTACATGACCGCCTTTGACAACAATTTGCTTCCAACCGTCAGCAAAACTGGCCTGTAGCAAACCACTGACCACAGCAGGGTTCGCTTTGTGACCATGGATTTGCTTAATGACCACGGCAAAAATGTGAGAGTTTTACAACCTTCCCAACTTACGACCATGATGGGCAGGCTTTCCACGACGGTCGTTAAGTCAAGGACTACGTGGTACACTTTTCTAGGAGGGTTGAAATGCGGCAAAGAGGTGGCAGATGTATCTGACACATTTTGGCAACCTACGTCCAAGGATTGTGACACACACACACACACACACGTGCCTCCACGTTGGGGTTCCTACTCACTGGACATTCGTGTCTTTCTCCTCGTCGGGAACACGGTCCAAGAGGCACCGGTATATCGCCTGAACAGAGAAAAGCAACACAACAACTTTAGTTTTCCCTGTCTAGAACAGGGGTCTGCAAACCCCGGTCCGTGGATCGGTACCGGGCCGCGGCATGCCAGCAACCGGACCGCACAAACAAAACCCCATCCGCGAGATGCAGACAGCACACAAAACCACGCACCCCTCTGGTCCGCGGAAAAACCACTCTCCACGGAACCGGTCCCTGGTGCCCCAAAGGTCGGGGACCTCTGACCTAGAATACTGAGAGTCACACAAGCATTATGGCTGCCTTCAAAGGGCCAGTTGCATGTAAGACTATGTATCACAGTCTTCACCCTATCACCCTAACCCGTCTTGACTACTGCAACACACTCTACATGGGGTTGCCCCTGAAGAGCATCCGGAAGCTCCAGTTGGTGCAAAATGATGCAGGTTTTGTACAGACCTCGGTGTGCAAATGTGTCACTGCCAAGGTATTAATTTAATAGCTAAATAGCTTATGTAATGATGTAATGTAATGTCAGGTGGATGATGCAATGATAGGAATGACTCAGCAGGGTCTGTGTCTCTTTAAGAGCAAGCAGGGTCTGTATCCCTTTAAGAGCCTGAGTATAAAAGGGAAGGCTTTTGCTGGAGTGTCTCTCTCTCTCACTCTGTCTGTTTCCTGCTGTAACTGCTATGTGTTGGATCCTGTTGTATTACCACGTATATGTATATTGTTCCTGGTGTATGATATTGTAGATAGTGTAAGATAAACTACCATTTAATATAGACCACTGTTTACTGTATTTACTCCTGGGTTATCTCAGCGCAATAAGACTGCATGCTCTGACAGTCACCTCTTCTGAGGAAGCTGCGTTGGTTGTTGATTTGTTTCCGGGTACAATTCAAGTTGTTGGTTGTCACCTTTAAAGCTCTTCATGGCTTGGGATCAGGTTATCTGAAGCTTGCCGGTCACCTCTACCCGACCCATTAGAACAGGGAGGAGAGAATGTTGTGGGTCCCGTCCCCTAAGGAGATGCATCTGGCGGGACCCAGAAGGAGGGCCTTCTCCGTGGTGGCTCCCTCTCTCTGGAACATCATTCCCTCCCCCCGAGATTAGACTGCCCCCAACTCTAACACTCTTTCAGAAGGCGCTGAAGATGTGGTTCTGCTAGCGGATCTGGGGAACCCAGAGCGGGCTGTAACCCATTAAACGGCTAGTATTAAAGTTGGACCATAAGAAAGGCTGAGCGCCGAAGAATGGAGGCCTTTGAACTCTGGTGCTGGAGAAGACTCCTGCGAGTCCCTTGGACTGCAAGGCGTTCAAACCGGTCAGTCCTAGAGATCAACCCTGACTGCTCTTTAGAAGGCCAGATCCTGAAGTTGAAACTCAAGTACTTTGGCCACCTAATGAGAAGGAAGGACTCACTGCAGAAGAGCCTGATGCTGGGAAAGATGGAGGGCAAGAGAAGAATGGGACGACAGAGAACGAGGGGGCTGGATGGAGACACTGAAGCAGCAGACGTGAGCTTCAATGGACTCCGGAAGATGGTAGAGGACAGGAAGGCCTGGAGGAACGTGGTCCATGGAGTCGCGATGGGTCGGACATGACTTCACAACTAACAACAATGAATGTGTGTTGTCGCCGGGGTGGGGGGTGTTTCTTATTTTATATAATTCTATTATTTTTCTTCTGGTTATTTTTCATTCTTTTGACAAGAGTGTTTTTATAGCTCTCTAAGCCGCCTGGAGTCACCACGTGCGAGTAGGCGGCATTATACATTATACATGTTCTAAATAAAGAAAAATAAATCAAGATTAGCTCTGAGCAGTAGGAGAGACCGAGCTGCAGATCTCTCGCCAGGAGGAGCAGCAGTAAAGGAAGCGCGTGCACTCCAGCAGGGCCCGATTTTTCGACTAGCTTTGGGCTGGGGTCTGGCGTGCGCGCAAACCTCCCGTCTCACGTTTCCTCGCGTCTTTGGGGGAAAAGTCCGCAAGGCGCGCAGCTACTTGTGGGAACGTGCAGCGCAGACGGAGGAAGAGGAAGAAGGAAAGGAGGCGAGGGGTGAGAACTGAAGCAACACACAATCCAAGCGCCTTCCGTCCTTTCTCTTTCCTTCCCTCCCTTTCCTTCCCTCGCCGGTCCCTTCCCTCCCAGGCAGAGGGTGCTTTAGCCTTTGATTTTTACTCAAATCAACTCCTCCTTACTGCAACCCTGATCCTCTCTTTTCTCAGCCATCAGTTGCGGGAACGGGACAACTTGCCACCGCCAACTCACCATGGCTAACTCGCCGCGGGACAAAGTAACAATTCTATTTAATTCTTTAAAATAAATAAATAAATAAATTTAAAAGTTTGCCATTCCTATTTCATTCTGTCCCTCCTATTGCATCCTTTCTTTCGTGGTTCTATTCCAACGTTTGTGGGTTTGTTTGTTTTTTTTGATATTAAGAGTAATTTATGTCCCGCAACGAGTTACGCGTAGTGAGTTGTCTGCGGCAAATTGTCCTATAGAGCAGGGCTTTTCAACCTTTTCACCCATTGTACCACTTTTAGGATATGGCAATATCCGAGTACCACCAGTCGCCTAGCAAGGTGTCAAAGACTTGATGACAAAAAAAAAAGGCACTGAAAAAAGTGCCCCCCAAGCCACAGCCGAGCAAGACACCTGCCTACCCGCCCAGCGGCGCTCTTCCTCCTGTCCGAGGTTTTCATTGTGAGCATTTCTGTTGAGGATTGGCAGCGGGGGTGGGGTGGGGTGTTTGGTTTTTATTCCCCCCGTCTGCTGGGTGGTTGCAGCACGTTTTGGTCACTTCACATGACCCTGGGACACTGTGACCATCATAAATATAAATCAGTTGCGAAGCATCTGAATGTAAATCACAAGACCCTGGAGATGCTGCAACATTCCAGCTGATCGGCGCTTCTTCTGGGCTCAGCAGAAGCGCCCGGATCAGCGCTGCTTTCCAGCTGATTGGTGCTTCTTCAGGGCTCAGCAAAAGCGCCAGGATCAGCGCCGAGCTCCAGCTGGAGCCTGGCGCTGATCCTGGAGCTTCCACTGAACCCTGACAATCCCGAAGCGCCGATCAGTTGGAAAGCGGCACTGATTCTGGCGCTTCCGCTGAGCCCTGACAGCCCTGCAGCTCCAGCCATCTCTCGCTCAGGCTTGTGCGGCGCTGCCACCGGTTCAGCTCATTCCCCTCCCCCGCTACCACTTTTCTAGGATGGTCGCGTACCACCTGCCAGGTGCCAATGTACCACAGGTGGTCCCCCTACCACTGGTTGAAAAGCCTTGCTATAGACCCATCGGTTGCACCTTCATTTAATGCTTCGTGCCAGTCTTATAGACCGGGAGGGTGTCCCCCAACCTGTGGGCTATTGGCCCGTCTATTGACCACCGGGCCGTGTGAGTGGCTGGCTTGGGCACAGGTGTGCAAAGCCTGAGTCGTGCCAGCGTCGCTGCAAAGCGTCGCACGTGTTTGGGGCCTGTCATGCCTTCGTCTGAGCCTCAATCTGCGGAGGAAAATGAGCTGGAACGGGACCCTATGGAGGTCGAGGGGTCTGGGGCTTCAGAGGAATGTGGGGAAGAGCAGGCCGAGGCAGGCCAGGGATCTTCAGGATTGGGACAGGAGGAACAGGAGAGGCAGAGTTCAGGCGATGAGCAAGGTCCACCCCCTCCTGATCCTAGAGCACGGAGAGTGGAGAGAAGGAGGGAACAACGCGGGCAGGCTCAGCTACTACTCAGTAGTAGAGCGTCCCGCCCCTCTCCACAAGGCACACCTGGAGACTGAGATTTAAGGAGACGCTGTGGGGAGAGGCAGTTGTCGGGAACAAACGCTGATTCCTTGGAGTGTTGTGTATTGCTGCTGATCTCTTGTTCTGTGACTTCTGTTTGAAAACCTGGAAACTTTGACTGTCGGACTGTATTTCGGATTCTCTCTTTTGAAAACTGCTCGGATTCAAACAGATTCGTTCAGTTTATGTTTTCTTCCTTGTTATCTCTAGGGCCTTGAGTACTTCCTTATGCTAATCAGACTGTATCTGAACCTACCTACCTTCAGCCAGAGTCGGCTGAAGGTGTGTGTGTGTTCTGTTGTTGAGAGGCTTGCCAGCAAACGTGGGAGCATTTGGGGGAAATTTGGAGCAATAAAAGAACTGTTTGAATTGCCAGCTGACTGCATTGCCTCTGTGCTGTGCCCTGGGTCATCACAGGGCCCTACTCGCATGACCGTCGCAGGCGTTTGCGGCCCTACTCGCACAAGCATCGCAGTGTTCACCGCCCCATTCATGCAAGTGTCATGGGCATTCGCAGCCCCTCATACGAGCGTCGCGGGCATTCACGGCCCCATTCATGCAAGCACTTATGGCACCGCTCACACGAGCAATGGGTGTTTGTGCACACGCGCCTGCATTCGTACACACAAACTCCGTCCCCACAAAACCATCCCTTCTTTGCCCCCTCCTCCCGCCCTGGGACGCCAAACCGCGAAAGATTGGGGACGTCTGTTGTAGACTTTTTCATTATTTCAGCAAATCGCCGCCTCTACCTCTTAGACAACTGACCTGCTGGTACTGGGAATATTTGATGGGGTCCTTCTCAAAAACTTCATAAGTCTGGGATTCCAGATTGTCCATCAAGGGCTGTTGGGATCAAGAACCAAGGAGAGGCATTTGAATCGGGGATAATCCATAGAAGGCAAGAAGCAAATTGGCAGAGCACAACTGTGGAATTCAACTTCCCTCGTCACTATTTGAGATAATTCTGAATACAGGTAGTCCTCGACTTAATGACCGTGCGTTTGGCGAACGTTCGAAGTTACAGAGGCACTGGAAAAAAAGGACTTGTTTTTCACACTTCCGACCGTTGCAGCATCCCCGGGATCACGTGATCAAAATTCGGACGCTTGGCAACAGGTTCGTATTTATGACGTCCCTGGCGTCACGCGATCCCCTTTTTTACAACCTTCTGATGAGCAAAGTCAATAGGGGAAGCCAGATTCACTTACTAACATATCAACTGCAGTGATTCACTTAGCAACCACGGCAGGAAGGTCGTAAAACGGGGATACTTCTCACAGCTGTTAAAGCTGTCTCACTTTGCAGCGGGACGTTTGGACTCAATTGTGGCCGTAAATCGAGGACTACCTGTAATTTAAGACATGGTCAAGATTGAGCCGGTATGATGCCCGCTAGCTTCTAACGTTAATCAACTTGCCATAGAAAAGCAGGGAGGGGTAGAAAGTGAGGGGAGGAAACAGAATTCACAGACCGTGAGAGCCTGTAAGAACGCCAAGGTCACTAATGCAGGTGCTCAAAGGAGAAGTGGACTGTTCCCATAACCAAAAGAAGCATTACTATTGGACACGGGTCGGCAACCCGTGACTCCAGAGCCGCATGTGGCTCTTTGAGCCTTCTCCTGCGGCTCCCAGCCGCCATTTGCACAGAGAGAGAGAGAGAGAGAGAGAGAGAGGAACTTGCGCTTCCCTTCTCTCCCTCTCTCTCTCTCTATTTGCATCTGTGCGTCTGTGTGTAAAAAAGAGAGTGGCCTCACGCTGTCCTCCGACAAGCTGACAAGCTTATTGGGCGGGGCTCCTGCCTTCGCTGCATCAAAGCAGGAAGCAACAGAAAGCAGGAAGCAGCAGCTCTCTGTCTCTCTCCCTGTCTCTGTCTCTCTCTCTCTCTCACACACACACACAGTGGGGGAAGAAGACTGGCAGACCAAGGGCAGGAGGGAGCCAGCCCAATAAGAATGTGTGTCAGCTTGTTGGAGGACAGCGTGAAGCCAGCTTGCCAGATGAGCAGAAGATCAGAGGGGGGGAGAGAGAGAGAGAGGGAGGGAGGGAGACAAAGAGAGGGAGGGAGGGAGGGAGAGAGAGAACTCATGCACAGCAGCCTCTATTTCTTTTTAATTAAACTCTTCAATCAAGTTCTTCCCCTCCTGTGTGCGTGTGTGCGCGCGCACATGCGCCCGCGCAACTTTTGCAACTCCCAGTGTTTTCTTTTCTCTGAGAAACGGGTCCAAGTGGCTCTGTGAGTGTTTAAGGTTGCCGACCCCTACTATTGGACAATGTGAACACCCAGCAGGTGGAGTCAAAGGGAATCTACTGTTTAACTAAGCAAGCTTTCGCGCGGGAAAACCAGAGCTGGTTTTGCTTCTTCGGTTCCGAGTTGGTGTATCCAATAAAGTTTTACCTTTCGGGATTTAAATGCCTTGCGGGATCCTTTCCCTTGGGGATATTCTAGACCCCAAATCTTTCTGAAGTTCGGTCCACCATGCCAAGAAGGGGAGACTCACCTGCAACGGAGACTGCAGGTAATCTTCGTAACCTTTTGCAAAAAGCTCGTAAGCAGACGGAGGTGGCCGATTCTGGCTGAGATACTCCAAGTATTGCAAGTAGGAGCAGAATTCCTTTCCCGGATGGTGGTGGGCTCCTGTGATGATGAACTGCACCTCAAGCTGAATGAGGGGGAAAATAAGAGGTTCACCCGGAGAGGGAGGGAGGGATGGAGGGAGGGCGTGAGGGAGAGAGAGAGAGAGAGATTGGCTGGACCGAAAAGAGGACGAACCCAACAGAGATAGGGGGAAAAAAAAGACTTACTTTAAGCAGGCGAAAGATCAGACGCTGATGCATTTTGGAAAGAACAGGAAACCCTTTCTTATTGGTTAAGAAGATGCTGGTGGGTAGGATGGCTGCTTTGATTGGCTCGCCCAGCCAGCGGTTGATGACGTGATTGGATGGCAGGTCTGGGCCCACCTCCAGCGCTGCCAAGAACGGAACAGAAAAGAGTTTATCGGCGGGAGGAAGCGAAATGGCGCGGGAACCTTGCATCTCGGCACTTACCCACAGCCACACGCTTGTTGTAGTCGCACAATGTTCGGAAGCTGTGCCACCTGCGAAAAGAAGGGAGCTAATTGGGGCACTCAAGAAAGACTGGCCTCACCAATCACCTCTCTCTCTCTCTCTCTCTCTCTCCCTCCCACACTCCCTCCCTCTCTCCCACACTCACTCACTCCCTCCCTCCCTCTCCCTCTCTCCCATACTCCCGCCATCCCTCTCTCCCTCCCCCTCTCTCTCCCACACTCTCTCTCTCTCTCCCTCTCCCACACTCCCTCTCCCTCCTTCTCTCTCCCTCCCTCTCCCACACCCCTCCCTCTCTCTCTCCCTCTCCCTCTCTCCCATACTCCCTCCCTCCCACACTCCCTCCGTTTCTCTCCCTCCCACTCTCCCTCTCTCCCACTCCCTCCCTCCCTCTCTCCCTCCCTCTATCTCTCTCCCATACTCCCTCCTCTTCCCCTCTCTCTCCTTCCCTCCCTCTCTCTCTTTCTCTCTTTTTGCCAGAAAGGGCTCACAAAATTAGCAGGTGTGGGGTGATAATCGCCAGGAGATGACTCACTAATTGGAATAATAAGCAATACCCACTTCACAAACAATCCTCACACTACTAACAGATTTGTTGTGTGGTTGTGTTTCAAAGCTGCCAAAAAGTAGCGCCTCGAGGCCGTTTCCTCTGACGGAGGAAACACTCAAAATAAATAAAGGAAGTCGTTCGCCTTACGACCCATAATGGTGGCCAAAATTTCGGCTGCTAAGCAAGACCGTCTGGTGAGTTTTTGCCCCATTTTACGACCTTTCCTGTAAAGTGAACTGCTGCGGTCGTTAAGGTGATCAGACGGTTGTTAAATGAATCTGGCTTCCCCAGGGGCTTTGCTTGTCAGGAGGGTGCAAAAAAGGGGATTAACATGGCCCCGGGACACTGCAACCGTCGTATGTATGTCAGATGCCAAGCGTCTGAAGGTTGAGCCCAGGGATGCTGCGACGGTCGTTAAGTGGGAAAAACAGTCACAAGTCGCTTTTTTCAGTGCTGTGGTTAATTTCGAACGGTCACTAAACGGGGACTAACCTGTACTGTCAAATAGGGACACATGGATTTTAAGAGAATAACCCAAGGCCACATTTGACTGACTTCTCTCTTTCAAGATAAATTATATTACAGCGGTGAATTAATTGAATTCAGCACCTTAGTTCTGATCCAGCAAGACTTATTCCTAAGGAATGCAGGCAGTCCTCGCTTTATAACCGTTCGTTTAGCAACCGTTCGAAGTTGCAAGGGCACTGAACCAAAGGGACTTACAACCGGTCCTCGTGCTTACGACGGTTGCAGCACCTTATGTGGTTGCCATTTGCGCCCTCCCTAGCTGGCTTCCAGCAAGGAAAGTCAATGGGGGAAGTTGGATCCACTTAACAGCGGTGTGATTCGCTTAACGGTGGTGTGATTCGCTTAACGATGGTGTGATTCGCTTAACGGCCGTGCGAAAAAGAAGCCGCAAAATTGGGTGCGAATCACTTAATCGTGGCCTGGCCTAGAACCAGAAATTCTGGTTTTCCCAGCTGTGGGACTATCGCTACACCTCAGTAGCCATTCAAAGTTCTTGAGAAACTTGATTTTACTGTTCGACTCGTCCCATACAAGTGGTCCTCAACTTACGACAGTTCATTTAGTGACCGTTCAAAGTCGAAAGGGCACTGAAAAAGTGACTTATGACCCCTTTTCCACACTTACGACCTTTGCAGCATCTTCGTGATCATGTGACCAAAATCCAGATGGCGCAGTAAGATTGTGTGTTTGTTGTCATTGTGAGTTGTGATGGGGGGGTGCACGAAGGGAGGCTCAGCCAATCTCATTGTACACGTGTTGTACTTTGACAATGAAGGATTTGTATTGATAATTGTTGCAGCGTCCCGGGGTCACATGATTTTGCGACCTCCTGACAAGCGAAGTCGGATTCGTTTAACGACAGGGTTACTAACTTATCCCCTGCAGTGATCCACTTAACCATGGTGGCCAGAAACGCCATGAAAACGGGGCAAAACTCATTTAACAGCCGACATTCTGGGCCCCAATTGTGCTCGTTAAGTCGAGGACCATCTCTGCAGCTGAGTAGCTACTCAAACCCGCTTGAGAAAAACTTGATGTGACCGTTCAACTCATCTCGTATTTCAAACATCGGCCAAACATCCTTGGACTCTTAAAAAGACTTCTCACTTACCACTGCCAGGTCTTCTCCTCGCCCGTGCAGTCCTCGTCCCCGGCCGGCAGGGCCTCGTTTTCAATCACGTCATCTCTCAAGTCTTCGGGGGCCAACAGCGGGACTCGCATCCAGAACTGGCACAGGAGAGAGAAAAGGAACCTTTAAATCTGCGGTGGGTAGGTTTACATATGTATGAATAATACAGAGAATAACAGAGTTGGAAGGGACCTTGGAGGTCTTCTAGCCCAACCCCCGGCTCAGGCAGAAGACCCTAAACCAGGGATCTTCAAACTTGGCCCTTTTAGGACTTGTGGACTTCAACTCCCAGAATTCCTCAGCCAGGCACGCTGGCTGCCTGCCCTAGACCATTTTGGCCAAACGGTTGTCCAGGTCTCTTCATAAAAGCCTCCAGTGTTGGAGCAGCCACAGCTTCTGGTGGCAAGCTGTTCCAGTGGCAGTAGGGAGGGATCTAAGGAGGCGAAAACTACATGCCTTCTTAGAGGGGTGCTTTTCTAAATTTTTAGGGGGTTCGGGGTTGGCACGAGGGGAACCAGGGGAGTCCTCTCGGAGGCCAAGGCCAGTCCTGTCTGGGGGGCGCGGAATGGTAAGGGAGGAAACTGGGGGGCTGGCGGAGGGTGGTGTGATAGGTAGTCAGTGGGAGGGGCAGGTATGGCGGGAGCAGAGGACCATATCGGGTTCTGGGAGCACGCACACGCTACTTACAAGCTTGTGGGTGCTCCGATCCTCAGAGCTCCACTCGATCTCCAGGGACCTTAGATCCTCCGGCCAGGGCCCATCGGCTGATGTTGTGCAATGCCAGGTCTGTAGTAAATAAGGCCCCCCTCATTCAAGAACTGATTCACGAGGGGGGAGCGGACCTGGCGGGTATCACCGAGACCTGGCTGGGCATGGAAGGGGGAGTCCCCCTTGTTGATCTATGCCCACCAGGTTTCCAAGCATTCCATCAGCCGAGGGCCCGGGGTAGGGGCGGGGGGGTGGCGGTCATTATAAGGG